AACCTCCGCCCTTCTTTTCATATCGATAACATGAACTAATTCTTTGACAAGTTTGTCTATCAAGAAAAACAAAGAAAATAGGTGCTTGTTATCACCGTATAGAAGTAAAGCTATATTATTCATTCATTTTAAATTTCATTTCTGTAGCAAATTGTTGCAGTCTTTTAATTTAGTTTGATGTGGTTAGTCAAAAAAAAGGGTCAGAAAATGTTGAAATTAAAAAACTTCAAAAGTTATTATACTAATTATAAAATTTCAGAAAAGTTATTACAAATATGATATCGTTTACGGAATAATGTACAGCTCAATCTGATATTTGCTCCAAATATTTTTCTGGAACAGATTCACTTCGATTATATAAGAAGAGATTTATAAAACTGAAATACTTTCGTGCTATTAAAATCAGAAAAATTTATTACTTTCTTTATCTTCGATGTTATTTTCTACTGATGTTTCTTAGAACAAATATTAGCGTTATCAACGTGATAGCTTTAAGAATGAGAATTTTTGCTTCCTCTTCATGTATCGATATGTCAAATTTCTTTCCGGAATTGAAGCGAAAAAAATTCCTACCACAATATGCTAATAATGGAAACAGCCACTCCGCATAATCTTATTTTTTATTTCTATAAGCTTACTAGTCAGTCAATCAGTATCGTTGAATCGTATCTCACATCAGTTAAAAATAATCCACATAAGGGAAAATAGAGAGGAAGGATTCAAAATTTCAGATGACTCATTCACTAAAGAAGCTTGAGAAATGATGAATGTCGTTTGTTTCCACATTACTTTCAAATGGAAATTTTCTCTCTTTGTTAATTAGACGTAATTAATTGTGGGATGTTTTGAAGTAAAGCCTTAATGAAGGAAAATAGTTTCTAATTGTTCAGTTTATTTGATGAAAATGAAACTGATACAAAGAATAGTGAAATAAACGCTTGTCATCAATAAGAATTTAAATGAAGCCATCGGATATGGTCGATTCATTGCTTAATTAATGCTTTTCTCTGTGAAACTTTACTGAACTGGAATTTTCTTCCCTTGATCAATCTACTGATCATATGAGTAATTATTTGTCATCAAGCAGTGGTAGGAATGATTATTTGATCGAAAATTTCTCCATAATAACTTATATGACGTCATTATATATGCTTAATGCCTGGTTAATTCATTTTTTCCTTTTCAATACAAAAAAAAAGGAAGGAAATTAACATAACTATTCAAGATTTGCTATATTTATTTTATTTTTATTTTTTATTTTTTTTTACAGTGGCTGTCACCGACTCATTTAAATGCTATGATTGACTGACATTCCAATTTAATTTATATGATATAACAGCTTTTTCTTTCTCTCAAATCATATGTCAATTTTTCCTTGTTTCAAACCTGCTTAAATATCGAACAGATATTTTCCTTCATTTCATATTTACCACTGTTTATAATTTACTCGAAATTCTTAAATCAACATTTTGATTTGCATGTCGATCACCACAAACTCATCCCTGTGGACTAATTGAGGTTATTTTCTAATTACATAAATAATACGTTGTTTACATCAAAAAAAAAAAAAACTATTCATTTCCTGATGTACGATTTTCGTTATTATTCAATGATATTCCTTTCAAATATTTGTCATTTACTGCGTTAGCAGTAATGTTTTATTTGCACTGTTTGATTCATTCACTGATAATTTTCTGCAATGATAAATCTATGCACTAATAATTCTCTGCTTCTTTACCAAAATAGACAAGATTTTCTCCTTTGTAAATAAATATTTTAAAAGAAAAAACAATGTCTTTTCATGAGTTTCTTATCAATGAACTTGTCTACTACTGTCTTATCAATTTATGACTAGCACGCAAATTATCTTTTCCTTTTCTTTTTCAAGATTCAGAACAGAACACTGGTAGAAATCTTATCAGAGAATCAATAAAGCAATGACTGATACTAACGAACTCTCATAAATATTCCGTTTGCGAAAATGTCAATATCAGAAAATTAATAAATTGTACAATATATCCTATTATCATCTGTAACCAAAAGTGCAAAACAAAATTCATTCCAATGTCGCCAGAACTTCTGAATACGACATTATATATTTAAACGCCCTTTTTTTTTGTCATGAATTTGACTTTTTTTGTTTTAATATATAATTTGTCAAAGAGCGCCTTATTGCAGTCATTTCGCAGTTTACGCTTATCAAAGTTGTCACCATTTATATTTCTACTCATTCTGTCAACCCTCATCTTCATTTGCTCTCTTCAAATATCGATGCTCACTTAAATGAATGGATTTTCTAACTTCAGCTTGCAGTTTACTCAGCAAGTTTCTTATCTGCTAGATATTGTCACCTTACAGTTCAATATACCTTTAGAATTCAATCATGGTGTATTTTCTTCAGGAGTTTTTCTTTTCACTAATAACTTGGACATGATTCATTATCGATTAGGCGTTTCTTCCGATGTTGCTAAAACAACAAGTCACAACAATTTTTTATTGAAAAGCAACAATCGTTGGTGATTTCTCACTTTATCATTTCTAAAATTACAATTTCCTATGGGAAAATGTGTGTTCAAAAGTTTGATCATCAAAAATCTGCATGGATTGATGATCTTTTGAAACAATTAGCTTGTCTTAAAGATGTGTAAATTCCAATTTATTACTTTAATTTAAATTTTAAATTTATGGATGATTCGAATATTTTTTGAGAGGAGAAGAATGAAGAATAAACTTTTTCCAGGAATGAATGGCATAATGAATTAATTATTCATCGACTTGATGGCTCCTAAAATAAACAAGCTGAAACATAAATAAGCGTATACGTTCACATAAACAATTTCGTAACAAATAATAATTTTCAATGTTTCTCTTCTCTTCTCTTTGCTACTTTGTTCCAATGACTGAATACGTCTCGTTGATTCTTATTCATTTTAAATAGAATTATCTAGCAAGGTTCCCCACCTCAAGAGATTTGTTTCTATGGATGACACTGCTCAGATCACGATGTCACAGTAAAAGTTTAAATTACAAATGCAATACGATTCATTCAACTTCCAGTATTTGAGTAATGTCCGGAAAGTTTTGACTTGCTTCACAAAATGAATGAGTTCCTGAATTATTGCTGAATTTTGTACAGTTCGCATTATCTTTTTCATTTTAATCAATTCAAGAAAAATTTTTTTTAAAAAAAACTATTTGGTTTTTCTACGAATACTCTGATATGCAGAGGAATGAAAAATATTGTGTGTTTTGGTGGCGCTCACTTCCTTAGGGATACATACCGAAAACCGGTTATTTGCGCTTTCTTTCATCATTACCTTTCGAAAAATCCACCACATTACTGAGAGTAATTCATTTTTTTTTTATAGAAATCATTTTTGTGGCATGTATGTCTACTTATAGTATGTTACATTCAATGATAGAAAATGTAAAAATGTTGAAATGTTTTAAAAATTTTTTTTCAAGTAGAAAAAAGTTTTTACCTGTGTAAAATGTGCAAACATTCACGTGAAAAGACTGAACTTCGAAGTATTTCAACATTTTTTTCAATCAATTCTTTTCAGTATCAAATATGTTCGGCGTGAATGTTTCCATTTTTTCCCTTTTTGTAAAGTTTCAGGTTATTCATTTCTGGAAAAACTAATCTTTTGTGCGCATTCATAATTCTCTATGGAAGTTAGAGCAAATCGTAAATACAATTTGCACTTTGATGTAATATTAGGAGAGAATCGGAGTTTATGAGTAGGTAGTAAGTAATTCAATGACGACAAACTATGACTTAAATAACGGAATAAAACAAATTATTGATATAAGTGGTTCTTGTTAATGTGTCTAATGAAATTATGGTGACTTCAACATTTTCATTTTATGAATCGTAAGGGATGATAAATGTATTGGAATAAAATTAAGGCAATTCTTCACAACTGCACTTACAGCAACGTCCACTATTGTCTTCGTTTTAGAAATTTAAATTTGTAAATTCAGTAAGAATTTACACGAATTTATTTTTTTAAATAATAATATCATAATTCTGATGAAATTTTTTGACTTTCTACTATTTACATTTGTGAATGACTTCTTTTCCATTATAGCCTGATGCTATCTTTAGAGAACTATTAGTTTCCCCAAGCAGGCTAATTAAAGTGATCGTCAGAGTACTATCAACAAAGAATATAGTTAGCTCAAAATTTTTTTGCCGCAATTTTGAGTGTGGTGATACTGATATTGATAATACTAAATGGGGAATTGATTTTAAGTTTGTTGTATTTCGTGTACGACATGAAATGATGAATGAATGGAGAATATCGATTCCAACTCATAACATTTCTTTTTTCGCGATTGTGAAGGAAAGATTCGATTCTTTACACATTCAAAAGAAATTCTTTTCCATGCGTTATTGACGCATAATAGCAACAAATAGAATATAATTTAACAATCTGACTCATTATGCTTTTTTGTGCTTATTTGATTTAATTATTTGTCAATCAACTCATTCATTTCTGAAATGACAAACAATACTTGTTGTAAATTAATAGAAACACTTAGTTAGAGTGACTTACACAACCATTTGTATCATCACTTAGTCACCCCATTTTGAGAAACATAAGGTCACACTACTGGGATATTTCAGGTCATTGGGATGATTTCCAATTAAAACTTACAAGTAGTTTGCATAATATGAGCAGTATTCCTTGGAATCATACGAGATCAGGGATTTTGAATGGAAGAGAAGGAAGATATGAAAATATGAGATGGGAGATTGGTCGCTCATGGCATCCTTAGCAGTATGAGTTCCTTCATTTTGTGTTATTCGATGAGCTGTTTCCATAGAAGCGCTCGAAAGTCACTTGCACATCATCGAGCAGTTCCGTAAAAAACTGTTGTTTATCGCTCAGTTAACTTCCTTTTCTATTCTTTTCTTCTGTCACTTTAAATGACTCCCTTTTCTTTGATATTGTACATGTTAATTTTGGAATAATTAATTAGGAAGTTAATTACCTATGATTGGCATGTTGCCATATAAGTATATGTAAATTCATTCAACTTTATTCACATCGTTTGCGTAATATGTCATGCTTGTCATGTTGAACACAAAAACCATTTTGCGTACGTTACAGCAGTTTGACATATCAAAATAATCCTGAAATGACAGCACTAACGGCTCGTCGTACCAGTTTTAAAAAAAGGCAGAATATAACGTTTCACTGGAAGCTATCAGCAGCCGTACCGTAACACAGCAGCAACAACGACAACGTATTATTGATGAAACATATCCGGAACTGTCACTGGATCAAGAGAAGAAACATAAAGTGAAGTTACAATACAAAACACCATCGTTGCCCGCTACAATCGAAGATGCCAGCGAAGATGAAGAGGTCAACAGTTTTTTAATTTCTTCAAATATGAAAAAAAGAATCTATCCAACAAAATTTAAAAGGTAAATTCAAAGAAGATCATTTTTTACAGTCAACAGCCATAAGCAATTGCTTGTCTTCCACCAGAATCCTTGATGGACGTTCACCATATGCATTACCACCAGAGGAACTCTTTCAGCACAGTCTTCTCGCAAATCAGGATTTCTTCTCTCACCCTCTCATAATTCCGAAGTTCGAACACCGTCCTTTAAAACCGCTTCGGAACATAAAAACAGCCGCCGGGCTGTCACGGGGATTTAATGACCCTACCATACGAAACAAACGGTCACTCTGTAAGTTCATTGTAATGTATTCTGTTTGGAAAATAGAGCACGAAGAGATAATTAGCAAATCAACATAAAAAATGTTTCTTTTTTGATATCAAAACACTTCTTTCCATCTACGCTGTTCGTTATATAGCTTTGTGGACTGTGGTAAATGACTACATCTTATTGAGATTTCCATTAAAAGTTTATCATATTAAATTGTAGCTCCAAGTCGCACTTCGTTTTCATTTACAATGAAATCTAAAAATTTTGGTAAGCAGTCGGAGCATCAAATGTAAAATAAATAGCTGATTAAAATTTTAGCATTACTTGGTGAGCGCCTAAGCAGCGCAAATTTCGAGTCACTATCTGCAGTGTCTGTAGACTTCTTGGGCTTGCCACCAATTCCCGAAACTGTTCCATTGAGGAAGATATCAGAAAAAGAAGGATCAAGTTTGGATGACGAAGAAAAGGAGGATGAGAATTCCTTCGAAGTGTTAGGTTCAGAACGCTCCGATTCCGGCGCATCTGCATAAGTTGCATAGTATATTACAATTATGAGAATTGAAGCTTTGTTATCGAAATCTAAAGCAAATTTTCTTCAGATACTCTGCTCGTGGCTCATTTTGCGTATTTCATATTAGATAAGTCAACATGTCAACATGATTTTTCAGTAACTCGCTCAATTCTCCTTTCTTCAGTGTGATTATCTTATCTTATGATAATCTGTTTCTGAGAGTATGTGGATCAAAATGCAGATTAAGATGTATTTGTTGAATTCTGACTTTAAATTGTAAAATTTTAAATTAATAGTGGAAGTAATGTCAGGCTTGATAGAACAAATTTATAAGAGATCAAGTTTTCATATCTTTTTTGCCTTAATTTTTGGTTCAGAGATTTGATAGAAATTCTATAGCTTAGTTATATGACATGGAACAAAGTTTTTTCAGGACACTGCTCAGTTATTTCGTTACTATATATGACCATTCTGTACATAATAATGTATACCAATCAGATATCAGTGAATTACTTGCATCTCTAAGATGGCACAGTATTTTTATGGTCATTTCTGCGAATTGTTTTAGTGTTTGCGGGTATTTCACTTAAAAATTTTGCAGAGAAGGAATGTTGATGCATTTTTCAAGTGAAGAAACAGTTTTGTTGAAGTTGACATTTTTATATTACTTTGTTACAAATAAAATTTGCTTTAAAATTTGATTCATTTCTGATTTAAATTGTACAGCTAATAAGATCCTATCATAAAAAATGAAAAACTGGGAGCTTCTTCAGTTGATGACGTGATGTAAGCACACAAAACTACCCATGGTCTGAAAAATAGCGGATTTCTATATTCCAAACTATTTCTCCGCTCATAAGAAGTTAATGTGGTCACAGTACTTTGCTGCTTCCCACCTCAGGTAAATTTAAAGATAAAATTAATTCATTTGCTGGTGCTTGCGTCATCGGAAATATTACACCAAAATATTTACAATAGCTACAGTTGTTAAAGTGCATAGAAATAGTTTGTTTCATTGTAATAAATATAATCAACGAATCAAATTTGGAAACAGACTTTTGACAATTATTTCGACGCCACTTTGCATATTTTCATAACTGAATAGGCAATTTAAATATGGACAATAAAATGGAATGACTGAGGTAATCAACATATTCGTTGTGGAAAATATTTTGGTAGATTGTTTATGGATCCTTACATAATATTTTTTTATAAAATAATTCCTTATACCAATAAATTTTACCGATGCCGAAGATATTTTGACTAGTAGAACCAATTGGAACAAAATAGGGAAAATCAGAGTGATTCACAGCGTTCTGTTTTTGATATCGTATGGAAATATTCCAAAAAATCAACTAATTTCTGTTTCTAACCTTTGTCCGATAACCTTGCTATTTACTGTAGCCTCAAGCGCTGTACATTTCCCTCTTGTTCAACTTTTCTTTTGGGCTTATTTACATACCATGGGGAATCCTAATCATCTTCAAATCCTCTCAATAAATTCGAAGGCTGATTGGTCGTTCACTTGTTGCTACATCATGGCAAAATGGAACAAGGTAGAATCGTACCGGCAGTATACTGAATAAAATCCCGGAGTTCAGTAATGAATAAAATCCCGGAGTTCAGTAATGAATTCAAACCTGAACCTAAACTAGTCGATCCAATCAGTTTAACTGCCCTATTCCAGTCAAGAAAAGCTTTTCATAAAATGAACCGATCAAGTTCGAATCGTTTATCTCACTTCATTTCACTGTTCGTATCACCTGACTCAAATGCAACAGTGTTTGTTAGGTTAGGAGTCCGTTGTGGATTGGGGTCAAGAGTCTTTGGGTGTGATTGTGTTACTCGGAGTGATATGAGGCAGGGATGTGACCCATTTTAACTGCCTGTTTTAGTTAAGAAAAGAATTCTATAAATAGAAAAATTAGATGGGAAAACTAGTGATAGATTTATTCATTGAGAGAATGAAATCTGGAAGTCTGGAATCTTGAAGGAAATCCCAAATAGTTACGCCAAGTATCAAGCAGTGCGCTTTGACTAAGGAGGAGAAAAGACACTTCATCCGAAAAGATGCGAAGTTTGGTGGGAAAACTAATGATATGTTTATTCATTTGAAAGAATGAGACCGAGGAGAACACTTTATCGCAAGAGTAAAGGGTGAACTGCCTATATCGATTTATAGTTAGAATATCTTTTGTCACACATACATTGGAAAAGGTGAATTTTAGAATGGCAGTTGCCCTCCGTTGTTTCATGCCATGTCTTTATGTCTTCTTCAGTCTTATAAGATATGCGCTGTATTTACATACTTGCAAGATAATCTTTGACAGTTTTGTTGAACATCCTGTTGACTGACATTCCGGATAACTAATTATCCAGGATGAAAGTGGAAAGATATAATGGAGGAAGAGGAGACGAAGACCGACTGGATTTTTTGAAAAGCAGAATTTTCGCCAACTAATCAAGAGAAAGAGAGAGAGAGAGAGAGCGGAAATTGGCTTCACGTGGCGAATAAGCTTTCTTAGTTCAATGTAAAATTACAATTTACGACTTCGAAATCTGTATTTTTCCTTTCCCAGTATATAATGGTATAGCATGAATGCTTATTATTATCTGGAATATTTGAATAAAAAATCATCTTTTAATAGGTAGGTGTGCTTGGCATAGGAGTAGAAGGAATATGATATCGTTATCACCTTTTAATTGATTTGTTTGTTTTCTTTAAATAATTATTCTACATGCTTGGAGAAAAGTGTCCTTAATGTTTTTTTTTGTTTTCAGCTCTTTGTCTAACTTTGCAATTCAGGAATCAACAATGGAAAATATCGTTAATTCGGTTAAAAGTATAGCCCTCGATGTGGGTCAGTATTTAACACCTGTGCTTCGCGAATCAAAATTCAAGGAAACAGGCGTATTAAATCCTGAAGAATTCGTTATTGCGGGCGATTATCTTATACATCATTGTCCAACTTGGTCGTGGGGTCAATTAGATCCTTCAAAGTAAATTTAGCTATTATTTATCTTTCGACCTTCGTCTATTCCACCAACTCAAATCAACTTTTCATGGCGAAGTTAGATTTAAAAGGCATGTTACCTATGTAATAAGCTGTACCGGTCGTAATTTGATCAAAGTAATAAAGTTTGAAGACTTGAATAGTCACGTAACGGTAAGATCATTTTTTCACAAAAATAAAATGATTCAAAAGAAATTTGGTTTTCTGTAATGAAGTAAACAAGTCGAAAGTTTAACAATTCGTGTAAAAATCAATCATTTTTTTTTACAACGGTATAATGGTTTCTGATGTATATCACTGAAATGTATGATGCTTTTATTACGCTTTTGAATATGGAAAAGGAAAACTGCCAGTTGTATAAAATTTTCCGGACAAATGACTTGAAATGTTTTGCTGTTATTTTATCATTCAAAGTTTTTCTTTGCATATGTGTTAATATTTCAGAGCCAAACCATATTTACCTATAAACAAACAGTTCTTGATCACACGTAATGTGCCATGTTTTAGTCGTTGTGTGGATATGGAATATGATCCATCACAAGAAAAGGTGTTCTATTTAAATTAAAAACATTATCTGTCAGTTCTCGGCGTTACTAATGGATATTATTACTTTACTATTAATTAGTGTTTTTTTTTCAGATTCTCTTTGTGTGTATATACAGAGGTTCATTAGGATAATTTGATTCGCCGCACTAGTTAAATAATGGTATGATAAATGAATGGAGTATTTTCAGTCCAATAATTTGCAAAAAAGTAGTCCCATAATATGGTTGTCTAGAGACTGAAGAATTGCTTGTTTGAATTTAAGTTTTACAGATATTGAAAAGTAAAGAGTGGAATGAAGAGGGTGATTTCACCAACGTCGAGGATGATGAAGGGTGGGTTGATACGCACCATTATATATTAGATACTACTCAGAAACCTGCATCGATGTTCGAAATATCTGAAACGGATTCTTCTGAGGTTCGAATTTTCATGAAATGTTATTTGTATCGCATAAAGTGAAGGTAATGGTTTCATATTATTTGAAAATAATAATGATACCTTTAGTCAAAACAGGTAGAAGAACCTGAGGACGACGATGATAGGCCACCAATGGACATGGATACGTTTGTAGCTGAAGGCGGTCTCGAGGAAGACGATCCTTATAGGTGGTTTTTAGAGAGATTTTCTGGAGTAACATTACAGTTATATGGCTTAAATTTCTCTTCTTTCCCTTAAATTTCTCTAGAAATTCAGAACTTCAATTTGTTTTCTCTAAATATGTGTATAAAAAAATTATGAAAGATGTTCAAGATTTGTTGAAGAGAATAGAAATCGAACCGAAGGTGACACGGATAACGTCTTGCATACACGTACTTATGATCTTCACATAACTTACGACAAATATTATCAGGTAACTTAGATTATAGTGCTCTAGTAGTTAGTAAAAGGGCGAGTTTTGGAGCAGTTCTTATTTTAAGTCATTTCAGTGCATTCTACTTTCTTAGCAATGGAACTTTTATCGACCATTATCGCTGATATCAACATCATAATACAAGAATCTATATAACTGGATTTAACATCCGATTTATATCATTTTTCTTAAGCAATTCCAACATCACTGATAGAGTTTTGCAGTCAGATTTCTATAATAATGACTCAGGTACCTCGTCTTTGGTTGTGTGGATATGACGAAAACAACAAACCACTTACTGTCGATAAAATGAGCGCAGATTTTTCGCAGGTTTCAGTTATTTCTTATTTTTAAAGTATGGAATGGCCTGTATTGCCTTTATACGTTTCGTTCATGTTGGTTGTTGGCTACCTTAACAGTTTTTGCACTTTTTCTTCTTTTTCAGAAAAATTTCCATGATTTAAGGATCACATTAATAAGACGATTACAATGGAATCTCATCCATATTTCCGCACTGCAATGGCTTCCATCCATCCTTGTAGACATGCGGAAGTAATGAAGCGTCTTATTGAGCAGCTTGCTGAGTCAGGAAAAGAACTGAGTGTTGATCAATATCTCCTTATATTCCTCAAATTTGTTCAGGTTACTTTTTAATTTTGAGATGGATTTTTCATCGGATGTACATGAGATCAATCTTGATCTGGATAAAGTGGTGAGAAGCTTGCGTCAGACTAGAAGGACTATTTGTCAGCAATTTTAAAACAAAAATTTAGTTGGCATTAGGAAATAAATTTCTACCTCCTCATGTACCGCGATTTCATTTGAAGTCACGCGGAGCTAATTAGCATGAATTTTAGGCAGTGATTCCAACAATAGAGTATGACTACACACGAAGCATCCAGTTTTAATTCGGTTAATTATATAAAACAATGAATAATTTTATGTTAGCTTCTACGGACATCTCTCAATTGCTCACTTATTTGTCAGTGTTGAATTTCTTCTTTCATGAAGATTGTCTTACTTTTGGAATTCTACAGTCCATGAAGTGTCTGCTTGTTTGCTTGAAAGAAAACTTTCGAGGCTGCTTTCCTTCAGAATTTGACTTTTTCACTCTATGTTTTTACTTGTTTTAATGAATTTTTCACGAGATTTTTTTTTCTGACCTTTCCTAGTGCTTTTTTTCTGACTTTTCCTAACCTTTTCTAGTGCTTATGTTGCATTCTACATTAAAGTTGGAATATCTTCTACGCTTTGTAAGTTCTGATTTCCATTTTGGAATGATTGATTTGGTGTAAAGGAGAGTAATGTGTAAAAAAGCTTTATAAATTTTCAATGAATATAATCTCTTTTTTTGCTCGTAAAGAACAAAAGATGAGTGGGAACAAAGAGTATTGTGAAAATTGCGTTGTCTAGGAGTTTTATCAGTTGACAACTACACTGGTTATGCGAAAGGCTTGTAGACTTTGAAATATTTATTTTCTTACAAGTAGAAGCAGTGAAAAGATGTCGGTGAAACAAATCGGTATCGATCACTTGCCTGGGTTTAAAGTCCTTGTAGATACAGTTAGAGAGATCTTGATGCGCTGCTACTGAGGGGTGGTCTGCATCCAAACTGAGTCTCTTACATAGTGCCAAGAAGTTAGGACCTGAATTGGCCCCAATATGATTTGAGATGCTTCACAGTATGTCGACATTGATCTGAGATTTTCACAATATACCGACATTGGATATGAACTTATTACTCAACATATTTACAACATCTTACAACACAAGTTGACCTACGTATTTTTACAATGTTATCATTATTTTTCTACTAAAAATATTCCCTTTTTTACCGAGATTAGCGACGTGGAAGGTAGACAAAATAAATACTTTTACCACGAAGGTGTTGGAGCGTCACAAATAGTGTTAGAAAAGCAGAAAACAAGTGTGACATGTCGCTAGTGTCCTGGTTGTTCTTTGTATAGTAAACTTTAGAGTCAGCGTTGAAGAGACAAACTAAAATAAATTATTATATTTTAAGTATCATACCAGTGTAGTAAAAGGTTTGTTTCTGAGTGGATTTCTTTTCTATGATTTCATTGATAAAATGAAAATGCTCTGCTAAAAATACTTTTGCGATTCTCATCAGAGAAAAAGAAATCAAATACTTCCTGGGAAATGTAACTGATAAAATCCCTAAAGTTGGGATTTAAAAAAGAATTTTGGTAGAGCGTTGCTATCATTTCAAAGGATTTTTGATTTACAAAAACATGGTGAGTCATAGTATTCAGCTACTGTTAAGGATGAATGCTAGCTTCAGAAATATCCATTAAAACGATTTTTACATTTAGAAGGTCATGTTGGAGGTTAATAAGAGTATAGTGCTGATGTGATTAGCTACTTTTGACTTGATTGATGCTAAGCAAAGCATTTGTGTTGCTTCGTTCATGGTAATATGAGTGTTACTGAGAATTCTTCCGTTCATAATTCTCCCGATTCATAATTCTTTCGATTTCTGTTCATACTTTTTCCGATTTTACAACAGCGACTTCGACTTCGAACAAAAAACCTATACTTTATGAATCAATTTGGCAAACAACTAATAAAAAAACTTCAAAAAAAACTGAAAAAATTCCGGATAGATTTTTTTTCAAAGTTCCGTCAAAATTCTAGAATTCTCGAATTCAGAAATTTTCAATTTCATTTAAAAGTATGCAATTTGTCTGCAATTTTCTCTTCAACTCAATTTAATTTTTATCCATTTCATATTGGAGTGACAGGAGGATAGTTGCAGTGGTCGAGTGTGACATTTTTTCGTTGAGAAATATCAGAGATAGAGAGTAAACAGTTAATGTGATTTCTTATTTTAATTTTGAATTTATTATAAACATAAAACTCCTATTCTCTTTTTTTTCTTTTTTTATTCATTTGTTGAAATCCTAAATTTCTGTCATAAAAATTGGGAAGAAAAGGAAAAATTTCCAGAAGTTGATAATAGATATTCATTCCACTTAACCTGAAACCTTCAACTACTGTACTGACAGAAAGAAATTCTCAACTTTATCCAGAATAGTTGAAGTTCTAAATTTTGGGTGCAATAGTTTACACTTGGAGTACATTCCCCCCGAAAAAGTCAATGACATTTTCCATTTCTCTCTCTCTCTTACCCTAATAATTTATGCATGAATTTAAATAACCTGCACACCAACCTGAACAATTCATTCCCAATTATGTTCGCTTTTTTGTGAAGCTGTAAGAGATTTTAATTGTAATTGTTAAAATAGAAAAAAGAAAGAAGTCAAGGATAATGCAAAGAATTTAATTTATACAGTGATAGAAAGAACAAAATTTCCAACTCGAATATCTCTTTTTATGATGTGAAAGCTAACTGATAATCTAATCACCAGACGTAAGTGTCCCTTGGTTACATGATACGCCAGTAAATTCGAATTCCTTTTGTTGAGTGTCCCGATACATCCATCTTCTCAGTGCTACACACTCGATCTGTATCATTTCACTCTTTCAAATATCACCATTATCATATATAAATTTCGTGCGAACAAGAAAGGCATGTTCTCCTCATTAATTTTCATTAAGGAGAGTTAAAAGTAATCAAAAACAGCTAGATCTTATTTGGATAAAGCATTTTCTAGAATGATAACTCCCTTAAATCTGAAAAAATGATAAATATAAGTAATTTGCAGTAACTACTAACTGTAAGCATAGCCACCATTGGCCCCATATTGTTGGCTACAAGAATTATTCCACTGACAATCTGAATCACTACTTGACTGATCTGAAATACAACGCTAATTGACTGATTAATTTAGATAAATTAAGACTACAAGGCATTATTATACATGATAAGTGAAAACAGTACCGCTGTTCCGCGACTCCTGGAATAGACCAGTTGAACGAATTGTGGACAAACTCCTCTCGAAGAGTGGTGTAGTATTGAACATTCGTCTAAACCAACTCCTGTTGTCCGCGGGAGCGGTCTGACTCGTGCCGAAATCGCCGTTGTTATCACTGGACAGCAAGCTGGAAATTTCTGTCTTCCTCTAATTATCATCTTTGTTCTTTTCAATTTTAATTCTAATAAATCTGTATTATCAATTTGTCAAAGCGCTTCAATCACTGTAATTGTATTCAGGCGGTATTTACAATGTTTAAGAAAACTGTTAGTACCGAATTTGTAAATAGTAGATGGAAATCAAGATGACTAAATAAATTAAGTCAACAGAGAGCTCACGGGGTGCAGTCGTAGTTGCTGGCGATGTTGTCGGAATGCATCCTTCCACTATCGTTCGACAGGAACACAATTGTGAAGACTGTTGAAGAGCAGACAACAAATGCACTTCTATGCATATATTTGAAGTTCAAGGCCGTCCTTCTTTAAATTACTTAAATTCCCTTCTTGAATTGCCTACTTGGAAAATTTCATACCACGCTATTACAGAACATAGCAATTATTGATTTTTTTAGTGTCATTCATTGATTAAAAGTTCCTTTTATTTGGGTGGAGTGCTTTTTACCAGGCGAATCGTAAACAATTCAAAACAGTTTTGGGTTAATAATCATACTATCACATGAATCTAGAATACTGTGTTTGTATCATACCGTTCATAGGGCTATAAATTAAAGAGAAATTTTAAAATTAAGAAGATAGTGTCTGCTATACGACAATTTAAGAGGGAGTTCTAAATGATGATATACAACTTGGTATAACCAGGTTGTGTCAACATCTTTGACCCAAATATCCAAAAACTGCGTCCCACCATTATAAAGTCGCTGCTGAAATATTTTATCGAATGGCGTTGTCGGCCACCTGACAGATCATTTAGTACTTACTATTCAAACAGATGTTTTACCTTTCGTGCTTCCTCTTTCAGTCGAATTTTAGTGTAATATCAACTTTATTATCAATTTGACTTTGCCATAGTTGAGTTGAGCCTACAGTGCAGACCTTCACATTCGACACTGATCCTCACTGATTATTGCCATTGAAATATTTTCACTCAGTACAAAATATAGCCTTTTCCTCACTAACACCATATGGAACTCCTACATTTCGAGATCAAACAGAATGTTTGAGCTTGAATAAATCCTCGAATACTAAAATTGTGACTAATCTATAATTCAAATTGTGACTAATCTATAATTCCTTGTAACTGATGTAAAATTTTAGGTGAGAAATAGAATTCGAATAGCACCAGTTTGGGAATAGTTACAATTGTTCCATATCAGAGGTTCACTTCAAACAGCACTTGTAGACTTCCATGCTCACTTAATGATGCATCCATCCTTGCACCAAGATTTCCCGAAAACTTCTGTTTCCCAAACAGTGTGTGATTTAAATTTCAGTTATATTTATATTATTTCAACAAGTTTCACACATTGCAAATGCCGCCCATGCATGATTTTCCCTTCAAAAAGGAGGACAACCAAAATTTATAAATCTTGAATTACTCAGGTACAAATTCTCCACATATACTAAAAATATACCGAAAACCCAAAACTTTGTAGATTTCCAATCTAATGAAAACGAATCGACCTTTAATCTAATCTAAAAAAAATTTCTGCATAATTTGGAAGTACATTCGATATATCAAGCGCCAAATACTATATAAACAATATCGTTTTGAACACAGACAGTAACGACCCAATTTGAAAAACTTGCATAGGATGTTAAATATGAATGACTAATGCATTTGCGGAAGTCACATTTCTTTTTAAAAAATTTGGAAAAGCGTGAACATACTCTAAATATCTGCACCGTAAGTTTAATCCTGCAATTTATTGACAACAAAATGATCTCTATTCGGAAGAAAATCCCTGTTGTTTGAAGTAAGTTCAATACATCATATTATGATCATTAAAGATAAGTTCGAGGAGGCTTTCCTAGTGTAGTACTGCTCCTTAAAGGTTATCCATATACCATGTCACTCTTCGTATTATTCACTTATTACTTTCCCAAAGTCCTTTACATTTTATAATATTAAATATAAGCTAGCCATTAGGATAGTACAATAATGTCCGTTTCATGACTGCTTAGAAGACTTTCCTGAGTCAATCTGGATCGCATATCGTTCCTTTCCTTAGAACCATACAAATCGAACAGAGCACTTCGTGACGGTGCAACCATAAAAGATATAAACAATGACAACAACAACATTTCCACAATAATCACAAAGTTGCATACAACTGAAATGCAAAGAATTGGAAGAAAAATGGAATCCTTTTCTTCATTCAAGTAAAAACTGTAAAAATCCATGTATTAAACGAGTATGACTACTGATACGAAATTTATCAACAAAAAAAAAATCGAATTTTTTCCCTATTATGTTTCATTTTTGTAAACAAGAAATGAATGTTTGCTGGGAGTCTACTTCTTTTGAATGTTTCAGCTCTGACAGTGCTCAAAAAATTTTCAGTAACTGGAAAAAATTTTAAATTGTTCGAACATCGAACCAAACTAGTGTGAAATGCGAAATGGTTAAAATTCGAACTTACATCGCGCATTACCATGCGCAGACAGTAGTGGACCACATTTTAAAACATTAAATCGTATCAAAATATTCTCAAATATCATTGGCTGTTGAGCGGTGAAAAATAGAAGTGCAATATCAACAACTCGAAATATTGTCATAAACTCGTACTGACCAAGTTTATCCTCAAAATTGTTTTCCTGATTTTTTAAAGAAAAAAGGCAGAGGAAAGAAGAAGAAATCAGCATAATATGTAACTACTCACGGAAGTTAGACGAGCTAATGTATGAACACCAAAAATAGCAAGTAACAGGGAAGCAACAGAAATCGTCTCGCTGAAATGTATGTATCTGAAAAAATCGAATCTAAAACAATTAAATGGCCATATTTTGTAATACAATGTCGACAAAGAGAAATAATATTATTTTTCCCGGCGTTGGCGCTACACAACAAAGTATCAATGACTTTGATAAAACTGCGGATTATGAAACCAGTACAGAAGATAGTGTTATTGGACAGGTAATTTGCATGAGAGCAATCAGTAACAATTAAAGTTTAGAGGTATCAATTGCCAGATTATGACTGCGGTTTTAAATAACAGGAAAAAATTTGGATACTTATTAGCAGCTTCACGCCATTCTGCGATCGCAATCACATTAAACGTAACGATTATAGCGCGAACCACTGGAGCCTGTAGAACTAACCATTCCAATTGTCGCAAATTTCGCCTGCAATTGAAAAATTCCCAGAAATTATACCAAAAACTCTGTTCAAAATTTCAAAAAAAAGTCAACAACTTACGCGGTACTTTTTGCTTTTGGTAAAAATGAACAGCAACAACAAAATGGTGGACTCTGGAAATCAATTTTTCTCTTGTCCAATAGAAGTACAGTTGCGAATGCGTCACGACTACCGAACAAATGCCTTATCAGTGAAATAAGCACAAATAGGCATGTAAGGAAATAAAGAAGGCCAAGTGAGGAAATCACCATTGACGTACGTGGTGATATCATACCGATATAGCAGCACATTGTTGATACCTTTAAATGTCGAGAAACAACTATCATACAGTGGGAATTAGTATTATTTACCAGTATCAGATGAATTCATATTCTGTAATGCAAGTTTCCTTCGCAAAAATTCGTTACAATATATTTAAATAACTAACTGCTAACGTATCAAGAAAAGGCGCATTGTTTTTCAGGTCAAAGGTTGAAACAAAGGGCAAAAGAGTACAAGTATTATGTAATTCATCCTTCTGAAAGGATTGAAATGGTAGCATTATTCTGAAAACGGCAAAATTAAACTAAGGATTGGACATCACGAGAAAGTCTTAAATTCCGTTAAACAGTAGTTGCAACCAAAACCAAAGATCAAACTGAAACATTTACCGGGAATAATGATAATAAGAAGTAAAGTTTGTTTTGTCGTTTCTCTTCTGCAACATACATCCATACATGGAACCAGTGAACAGCTGCTAAAAGCAATACAATAACGGTAAAAGCTGTTGCAAATAGTATCAGAACGAACTGAGCGCCGTTTACATCTGAAACAAGAAAGAGAAACCTTATCTTTCATTTACCTATCTCTTCTTTGGAATAGTAAATGTCACATGCATTTCCGATTCCTTCCAAAAACTTCTAGGCGCCCTACATTTCCTTTGCTCTTCTGCGCCATCATCCATTTTGTTGCGCTTTTTTGTTTTCTAACTCACTAGCCCCCAACATATACTGTCATACACCCCTTTGTTGTTATTATGAATGTTTTGTGTAAATGATAAGCGCTTATCAAGTGCAACCAACCGCTATTATCAAATTATTTCCATCAATCCATTCGTTAGCACGAAAAGTGGATAACCAGGAATTTCCATTACTTTAGAAACTGGACAACAATTCACTGTCTCAGAAGTGGATAGAACAACTTACTTTTAATAAAGAAGTACGCTGATGGCTGATCTGATAACGTTGTACAATTCCGATCGGTACTAGACCAGTCCGCCAATTCGAGTATTGTCTTCGTTAGTTCACTGAATTTCATATTCACTGCTGCATTCACTCCTCAAGAGCGGCAATGGTTATTTTGAATTTTTTTCTTTTTTAATTTGAACCACTTAAAACGCGAAATGATAGTTAGGAAGTAGGGACGAGAGATGATTGTCGTCACGAAAGGATATGACAGTCATTGTTTATTTTGTTGTCAGAAAATCAGAAATCAGACGAAAAATACTGAGAGAAAAAAAATACAAAGAATGAAGTAAATAGAAAGAAGGATCCAGTGGTTTAAATTATAATCCTTCTTTTTATTTGATCTTACAAAGACCAAACCTTCATTTGTTTTTTTTATTTGATTTTATTTAATCTTACATTTATTTGAACTATTTGATCTTATAAAGATCAAGAAGGGGAGATGAATAGCAAAATGGGAGATAAAGATGCCGAATGCAACAACTCCGATGCTAAACCGCCACCAAAAAGATCTTAAATGTTGTGCTTATTCAATGAAAAATTGAGATAATAGGCTGTCACCTCAACGATATAAAGATTAATACCTCAAGAACCAAACAATTTTAGACCTTCCGGTTATCAGTGATTTCATTAACGGTACACAAAGATGAAAAGATAAAAGAGCACTAAGCTGTTCCGTTTATGAAAGGGCATTTTGTGAGAGATGAACAGACAAAGACAAGGAACACTTAACATAGATTGAACTGCAATGATGGCGGTAATGGCACAACAGGACAACACTCCACTCATTGCGCCCACTCATATTCTGCCAATAGCACTAATCATTTGAGAAGGAACTTAGCACTAGTCGCTGCTAAAGGGAATTGACAAATGTTAGCTGTTGCTGTTGCAATGCAATGATAAGGATGTCAGTTAGTGAGATAGATAGATGGTAAACGAGTGGGTGTTTGGGATGGGAGAGATGATGCTGAAGAAGGAATAGTGGAGAGTGTGGTGATAAGCAATGACATGGGAATCGAGGGAGTAAGGTATTGTGGAGGATAATCGATTATAGGATGGCTATTGGTGCTGTGGTGATGATAAGACTAGATCTCGTATCATCAATTCTTGATGTCAACTTCTACATTACCCGTAATAAACGATGGAGAGTTACCTAGAGAAAGGAATTGGCATAGCACTGTAACAGTGGACAGTGATTGAAAGTAAGCGGAGAAATCTTGTAGGCAGAAGAGATGGTAAGATGATGAGGGAAAATACCGATGAGAAGAGGGATGTTTTGATCGAGAGTCAGAAAAACAGAGCGAACGGAAGTTCTCTTCGGTGATATTAAAAAGTGCTTGAAAAAAATGAACTTGATATCACGAAGTTCAGTGACCTCTTTGCTAGAAGGATTGTCACATTGTTTAGATTCTTACCCAAAACAATAGGTAAAGTTGGGTAGAGAAGGAAATGTCGCAAAAAAAAGGGAAACCTGTCGAGGCCAAAGTGCATTGGGAAGAAAAACGTGGCTGTAGCTTATATTTAGGCAAACAGGCAAACTTCTCTATCATGTGAAAACTGTGAAAACTCAAGAAGATGTATCGATTCCATTCCAGTCCACAACAACCTTTTACAAACTTCCCGTTGTAAGCTCACCAACTATTCTCCACCGATGAAAGCTTGTTCAATATGTGAATGTGAATATGCATGTGTGTGTGTGCATGCGTGCGGGCACGCATGCACGCACGACGCATGTCTATCTGCATGTTTGCAGTAGTGTCGGCTTACGCACGTTGTACAAGTTCATCATTTTTTAACTGACGACAAAAAGAATATGCGATGTGAACGTTTGTCGTGAAGGGAGAGGAACGGAGGGAAGCGTATTAGGTGAATCCTCTCGTGATTCATTCTACGTTTCTATTACCAGCTATGGCACATATCACTGGCTCTCTCTCTCTCTCTCTTTCTCTCTCTCATATTCTTCCTGTCCGTACTTTAAACTTTGTCTGTCCTCATTCAAAACTTTAGTGAAATGTAAATTAAAGTACTGAATAACTCGGTATCGTATCAGGTTAACATATTAGGGAGCAGTTGTATATGGTTATTAATCATTTGTTTTGTGATCTAGGGAAGGTTTACTATCAGAAAATAGGGAAGATAATTAACAATTTTAGCAAATTAGTATGGTCGGCTATGGAATATGTCGAAATACAGGCTGTGAAAGTTGGATGTTATCAATCTCTCAGTAAGATTGTTGCTGGAGGTTACTGTGTTTGTAAACGGAAGCGGAGTGCAAGCAAGATTGAAGATTCGATGGAGATAGACATCATCGTTCCTACTCAGTGATTTGTCCAAGAAAGCAAAGAACGAAGAGATAATAAACTCCTCCAAAAATTGCTAAAGCAATCGGTCAAATTGTTGTGGAGCGGTATGGTCGCACCGATCTGCCAATAAAACCAATATTAACAATAGATCGTTACAATAGCCTGGTTCTGAATATAATGTTTGGCATGGGAGAAAAAAACAGCAAAAAACAAAACAGTTATGATCGTTCAGTTTTTGAATACAAAATCGGGTTTTTGCTGAATTAAAATCAAAGAGTAAGGAGAAATCAAATAGTTTGTTTGGTTGCGACACGTGTCACCTAAGGATTGTTCGATGCTACAACAAGAATAACAAATGCAGCACTTCTTGCATACTGGCAATGTTTATGCTTGTAGCAAAGAGAGAATAAATTACAGGGAAAATGCGACCATTGTAGTTTTTATCAAAGTGAAAAAAACATGAGCAGTTGAAATTATGAAAAAAAGTTCAAAATCGCACATTTAGGAAGAAGATAATATCAAATGGATCTTTCAAAACTGCGATTTTTCCATTTTTTTTTTTTTTATTTGAATAGTATTTGCGACAAAAAAAAGTTAAATATACAATAGACAGATAGCTTCCCTTTAATTTTTACATTTGATCCATATTAAAATCTTTCAGGTAACTTCCAGAATCAGTAGGGTTTCGAATAATTGCATAATTATTGGTCAGACAATATCCTGAATCACATCCTGAAATTCTGATGAAATTCTCGAAGCATAGGGTATTTAAAAATATCGGATCCAAAGTAATTTATAAGTAGTACATCCAAACCCTTTTTGTAGAAACGGAATGTTGATTGAGAACATTGAACTAGTAATCCAAACACATATTCTGACATTCCTGATTCAAAAAAACTGATTAAGTGAAAGTTTGTTCAGATTTCAGGAAGAAATTTTCCATCAATAAAAAAGCAGGCGAAACATCGATGAATTTCTTATTTAAAGATGCCAAAATGGTTAAGTAATTTCGGCGAACCATTCCGATTTTGTACGATCGCATTCAGCGTCTTCCATTTTAGAGTGCATGTTGGGATATAACAGGAAGTAGAATAGACAAAATGACGTGAATGTTATCAAAAAAATCACCTGAAAATACATCATTGTGATGTCAAGGTACAAAATGTTATTATTAACAAAGTTACTGATGGGGGAGTTCCCTTGTTCCGCCGCGGTATTAAATGTCATTAATAAGAATAAAATGAATAAGGATGAATTGTTCTTCTTGTTTCCTTGAAAGTAACAATTATTCCCAAGAAATTCTAAAAAGCTATCAAATCTGAAAATTTATTTCTGATTATATTCAAATAAAAACAGGGAAACAAAGAAAAAGAAATTAAAAAGAGAGCAAGAATGTTATCTGCCCACATTAGGATTTTGGAAGCCTAAAACTTTCTCACTGCTAATTTTCGATCGGATTTTAATGCTACAATCATTTTTTTTTTTTTGTTTTAACCAAAGCTTTTCACCATTCAAAACATCCTTATGATAAGCGATAATGAGAAAATCAATTGTTTGGAGATTAATAAACACTATTAGGAAGAGAAATAGGGATGTATGCCGGAATTAGAGATGTATACCGGAATTAGAGATGTAAAACGGAATGATGATTCAAACCTGAGATATCCAGTGAAACATTTGTACTGACTTTTTTGTTAATCGACAATTATCCAACAAATGCTTTAAAGTGAAACATCGAAACTCTCGTCGTTTTTCCAAATAATGGTCTAATTCGTATGGATCATTCATTGAGATTGATGTGTGCGAATTAGACAAACGACATGATCTATAATCAAAGTACGGAATAATTTTCTATGAATCCTTTTGGAGTGTAGTCTGATATTTATAACTTTTATTGAATATATTATCAGTTACCAAATCAGCAGTTCTCGAAATGACACTGATATGCTATCCTGTTTTTAGCATCAAATTATTTCAAAGTCCGTATATTTTGTCCTTACTGTAATTCATAAATGTTACCAGTACCGTCTTCGTAAAGACGGCAAATCAAAATCAACACAAGTCGTCCGCGATGATGCGATAATAATTCCAGGCTCATTAAATGTGTCATTTGTGGCCATATTAACCTTTGCTAACATCGATGCAACCACGGAGGATTGCTTTCTGCATCTGTTTTCAATCAATATTCCGTTTTTGATTATTTGATTAATTGGATGGGTTACATCCGGCAGAAGAGGCATAAGTTGTTTTATAATTAAAATTGATGACAATTTTGCGAATTTTAATTACTACAATGTTAAAGTGACGAAAAAAATTAAGCTAGATATAATTAGAGAATTCATTATTTTAATAGAATAACCTGTTTTTATTCAGCCTCTGTCGCATAAATTTTACAAAAGCAATTTTGATTAATGATAAAAACACAGCCATAAAGCATACACCTGAAAGTGGCTTGCTTCTGAGTGAAATTTTAAAATAAGATTGTACGAACTACAACACATGCTAAATTGTGACGAAGAGATGGGAACAAACCAAGGTAAATATCCATAGCTTTAATGTAGCTTACACGAGGCATCATCTCATTGTATGAGAATATCAAAAACGTTATTGCCAGTATAATTGAAACCATATCCTGAAAGTAACTTTTATTTAATTTTAGTGCGAGAAAAAAAAACATATCTCTCTAACTTTATTTAAATTTTATTAAAAAGAAAAATTATTCGAATACATTTTTGTTGTAGGAGAAAATGTCGAAATTCATCAACCGAAAAAAAGTTTGCCTGAAATTCAGTCTCGTTTTCCATCCATGATGAGACCCAGGAAGTGACAACGACTGCTGTGGATGGAACTACTAATTGTATCAGACAAAATCCCGATGAACGATCAAATACAAAACATACATAAAGTCTGCTATAATTGCCTAAAGCAATCCATTCCAATAAAATAAATTTCTTCTTTGTGAATAACAGAGACATTTTCACTTCGAACACAATATAGCACTTTGAATGCATAAATCAAAATTTAAAGCTCAAATCAGAAAATCTGCAAATTTAAATTTACTTTCAGAAGTTTAGGTAGTTGTGAAAGGAGAGAAAACAATGATTTAACTAGCCTGTAGCATAATTTTCAATAACACTCGTTACATAAGCTTCTTTGATCTGGAAGTCCGGTAACCGGATTTTCTGCAGCAGCAGCGGTGCTTTAACATCTCTGGACCAAAAATACCGCACACGGTCTGCTGTATATCCATCTATAAATTAAATGAATTCCTAAAGCAATCCAACAGCTAACAACATATTAAATACAATAACGAGTCATATTACCTTAACTTATTTCATTTCATTTTTTAAAATAAAATGTAAAATTATAAGACTTTTTGTTGATATGACATCTTGGCACTTTTTTTTCACTCCGCAAAGCAGAAGGTAAGCAATAAGGTTAAGGTTATAAGTCAGAACTAACAACTTTCGATGCCAAGTTTACATAATTGTGAATCAAATGGAAAGAGTGTAAGATCCATTGGACATTCGGCCACAATGGAAATACGCCTGCTATATAGAATTGCGCCATCTTCACTTAACCTGGAAGGAACATTTAAGAAGATAGGCGGTGTGGCCACAAAGAGAACGATGTTTAGTCTATACAGAATGTTATATGAACAACCTTTCAAAAGACCAAATATGATGGACATAACCTCAAATGAAATTGAATCCAGTTCCTGCATGGCATATCATTTATCACTCTCCTTATCACATGATGTAGACTTCTCTATTCAAGACATTGCTTTCTCTAAATTGTCAATTCATTTAGTTTTTGAAATATTAAATGATGGGAAAACTTTAACCTCAGCAAAGAACGGTGTGAAATTGAGTGTTTTTGCGGATTTTTTGAAGCGACAGCATTTGGCATGAATGTGTCCGGATGCCACAAGAAGTTGATGTAACTTTCATGTAGTGATATCTTCCGATCTTTGAAATGATTCTGATAACGCAATCGTTTGTCCAGCCATGATTCGCGATAAAATAATTCAAGAGCGTAGTCCTTAATTAAAGATCTTTAGCTTGGAACATTGCTTATGGCTATTTTTTTTCTTTTTTATAGAACTAGATATGGCAGTTTTGAAAAGCCGATGAATTGAAGTTTTCACGACTTATGATAATTACAACGTTCCACATCCAAATATCTGGTCAGAAGTGATGATATCTCTAGCTTTTACTGATAAGAAATTTTTTTCCCTTAAGAAATAAAAACCGAATTTCCTACCATAGTAACTTCAGAAACGGCGCGAATATTACTGACAACAATTGATACATTGATTGCAACCGCTTCTGCAAATTCAATTAAATAAAAAATAAAGAGATTTAATAATTGAAACTTCTAATATTTTGTTTTAGGAATATTATTTGACTAAAATGAAAATGAATTGAAGTGAAACATTGCAAGTTAATTGAACCAAATGGAATAACAAACCTCCGTTATCATTTTCCGGTTCTTTCCGATGATCATAATCAGTGCGAACTAGGAAATGAAAGAAATCGCTCGTTCTACTAAAACTTTTCAAAAATTTTAGTCCTCAAGAAAGAAGTGAAAAATAAACTTCTCAAGTCTTTCTTCAGAATTAAAAGTACTTTTTTATAGGGAATTAGAATTTCTAAAATTTCCAATTCGATTACAAGTCATTCTGTTTCCAAAACTCATGGAAACAAGAAATCTAGGAATCGATCTCGTGAAGGGCACCGAACCCCAACTATAACTGCCCCGAGAAAGTTTCTTCAAACTTGCAACGGATGAAAAATGCTTAGTAACGTTCCAGGAAGAGTCAATTATCCAAATGACTTTTCTGAGAATGTTATTGAAAGCGATAAATGGATAGTGGATTCATTTTATGGCAAAAGTCCTTTAATGTTGCTGTATTGCAATCTAGCATGCATTGCATGCATGCTAGAATAGGATGATGAAAATGGTCACATAAAAAAGAAAAACAATATCTCCGATGCTCTTTGAATATTATCAAAACATAAGATAAAATAACGAAATAAAGTGATTAAAATGAATGAAATTCAACAGATTAGTTAAATATGATGTAATAAAACGATCCTTTTACTACAAATTCGTTTGATAATAACGGATCGGATCAAACAATAAACAAAATGGAAAGTGAAATCTCTGAAAATGGATATCCGGAATCATCTTGAAAGTCATACTTCCCGTTATTGTTCCGATAGTATGTGGACCATTGCACAACGGAATCATCATCGGCCATGAAGTCGTATCCACCTGACTTTTTGACATCAGATGCATGAAAGTTTGCAGCTGTCTGAAAAAAAATGACAATTTTCTTGAGTAAATTTTGATTTCAAAAAAACATTGTTAAAATATTGTTTTTTAACCAATTCAATTGATTATATTATGACACACGATAACTGTGCTTTGCTCATTATCACGTTATCAGCATGCTATATCACGCATGCTATTGTGCGGCATACTATTATGCACGCGTGCTATTTTATTCCCTTACACAAATATTTACGTGGAAGTGGATAAGAAGAAGTGATAAAAGGGATTTATGAGAAATTGATAATACCTGACTTGTTCCATTCACCAACAGCGATATCCAAAAATGAATTACTGCTATCATTACTGTCAAGGAATATATGAGCTTTTATTTTAGTTATACAATTACAAATGATCCATGACGCAATTGAACAGTTCAGATAGTGCAAAATATGGAAATGTGAGAATGAAGGAGTGAAGCGAATTAGGTGACAGAATCAAAAAATCAAATTTAAAGAATGAAACTTGAACTATGAGAGTTAATTTTTGAATTTTGAAAAATATGTCTTTCTCTTCATTCCATTCAGCACTGAATGTTTCGTGACATAAAAAATTCATTAACTTGCTGAAATGAAATAGAAGAGTCGTATAATGTGTAGACGAACAAACTGATATGATATATTTCTCAGCCCAGTGAACTTCATTCTTTTGTGACAATTAACAATACCTTTTGTAACAGTTAAAATGAGCTCATTAAATCCCTTTGCTTAATTAATCTGAAACTATATGTCACTCAAGAAGGATAGTTTCAGATTGCAACTAATTAGTAACGATAACTTTGATCGTAATGACTTCTGAGATGAGTGTCCTGAACAGTTATGATATTATATAAGGAAGTACTAATAAATTAATAATATTGCCTTTTACACTGTTATCCGTCTATTTCAAAAGTCTATTTCGAATTTTTGCATAGATATCTTAAATTGGAAGATAAGTTTTTAGCGCATTTTTTACATCGTCCCCGAAGGGTGATTAGCGGGGAAGTATCCATATATGAAGTCATTTAGATTTTCAGTATTAAGAATATAACTCATTAGTTGCCGATTCTAAATTGATCTGTACTTCTAAATAATTTGAATAATGAATAATCAACAAGTTTATAAAGATTTCATTTGGGAGATTAATCAATCAAACATTCCAAATAACAATTTCGAATAATTAAAGAAAACAACATCACAATATTATCAATTGTACTTTTCTAAACTGTGGGTAAACGTTGAGCGCAATAAGTAAAGGTACGTCTTTTTTTTTTTGGTTATAGAGTAGCATGACCTTTTAAGATTACCATCGTCTGATCTCATTGACAATCTCATTTTTTAAACTAATTAAGCCTGGAAAATTCAGACGAAACACTTGTTTAATATCATTTCTTCAACATAGTTTTGATTTTTTAGTAGCATCTTTCCCACTGAATGTCCCAATCGTCTTGAAATGCTTGTTAAGTTTTATGTTCGAAGCTTAAACAATGTGAAATGCAGTTTAATGCAACATTTGAGTAAATCAATGAAATGAATGAAATAAAAAGGAATGAAACGAGAATAATTCCCTACAGTATTCTTCATGACTTCTTTCTTCTGCTACACTTCCTTTCAGGGAAACAAAACTACAGCTATTTGACTATGAAGAGGTGTCGAAAGTGATTTACATGCTAAAATTAGATTTATTCCATGATACATATAGTATTACTAAGCAGTTGGGATCTCTTTTATGACAAAACAAATTTGATCTAAAACAAAGTCTTGTTACCATACCGTGTTTTGTTTGATATAAACTATGAGGAAAGAATCCACAACACACTGATAATGAAATCATTTGATCGGACAAACATCCTATACCCATCCTCTCTTACTTACATCTAAATTCTCATGCAAACAGACAGGATTTTAAGGATAACTTGTTAGAGTAATTTGTTAAAATGGAAATGAATCCAATTTTTTCTTTTTTACAATTTCCTTATTTTTCAGAGTGATTTAAAATAAATTTAAATTTCAAGGTGAAGTTAAAATAAAACAGACCGAATTCGTAACATACAGGAGTGAAATATAATGGAATCCATCATATCGCCTTTTATGACAAAGGCTTATTAATTTGATGTTGAAAAGTTCTTAATATTAATTGCATATTTTAAATAAGCCATGATGTGTTAAGCTTTCGTGGAACTTCATCATATAACACAAAAAGTTCTATAAGGCAGTCATTGGAGAAGCAGAAGGATGGAAATAGTATAAATGATGAACATAACTTGGGTTACATTCCAGAGACTATTGTTAAAATGTTTGAATAACAAATGAAACAAAAATCAAATCTGCAAAGAATGTATTGAAATCTGTGCATTTTCGTTTTCCACAATGTTTTGTTAGTGGAATTAATGGTACAATCAAAGTTATGTAAGAACAAAATATTTGAAAAGGGTCAAGCTGCTTATATTGTTGAACAGAGATCTAGTTACTTAAATCATTTGGATTTCTCGAACTTGCAATAGCATAAAACACTGAAGTACAAAGTTCCTGATTGAGAATGGGCTGACAGCTCCTTGTTGTTTGATTAAGTTCTTCAATTGGAAAAAGCAATTCATGATTAGCAACACTCTTCTCCTTAGACTCCTTTTTTATGCCATTTAATGTCAGAAATAGTCCTGCAAAGATGCTAAACTTGATAAAGTGGCAACATAAAAAAGTTTAAAACACACACACGCACGCACACACACACACACGCACACACAACACACACTACTCATATACACACACACATACACACACACACTCTAAGACGCATCAACGACTTCATTTTAAATGTAAACCCTATCTCTAACCGTTTCAGAAATACTTCCAAATAGAAATTGGTTCTGTTTTTCATCCCACAAAGAGTAAAAGAAGGACGTACATAAAATCTGACTTTTTGCGTTTTCCTTTGGGGTACGTCGAATAGTTAAGGCCTACATCACATCATTTCTCATGTTCGCTGATTCGCGGAAATGAATGGAACAAAGAAAAACCTCATAGATCCAATGAACTTTATTGAGGCAATTTAAACTGAGAACAAATTTATATGTCCGGAGCATTCCCTAATTCCACCCATCCAATCTTAACTGCCCCTTTAAGTGACTTCTTTTACTTTGGCACAAATAAGGACGTTTACTCCGCTGGACCATCTAAATAAAAACTGCTTGATTTCCACTTTTTTCTCCATCCAACCAAAAAAGGAAAAAATGCATCCTTCCCTTCCTTTTTATCAGAGATATTGATTAAATCAATCAGAAATGAGGTCTGGGATAATAAGTCATAATCGGTCACTTCAATATCAAAATATACTGCGATAAAAGAAAATTACTTGCTACTTATCGCAGATATATTCAGAGACAGAAGTGGCTAATTCTGAATGAATCAGCAATTCAATTTTTCGACTCAACAATGCCTTTTTTTTCAATGCTATCTACAAAATTCAGTTTACGCAGTGCAGAAATACCTCGAAAATTAACATATCTCTTCTTGTTTAATCAATTTAAACAAACTCCTTGTTATATCAGTAAAATGCCGTCTTCACATAAGCAGTAAAGTAAAATGTTAACTAATACTTCAGTATAGAAAAACTTTTTATATTAGCCAACATACAATAATGACTGATAACAGAACAACCAAAAATTTTCTATTCATGAACGTGGCCTTTCCTTTTTTCCTTTGAACAATGCAATCAATGATGTATTTGCTACTTTAACAATCTTGAAACGGACACCAGGTATATCACCCACAGCGTGTCCTTTCCGACCAAAGCCAGCAACAAGAACTTCGTCGTTTTCCTGTAAAATAAATAAGACCAAAATCCCTTCCAGCACCTGTAGTTTTACTAAGGGTTGAACCAGATATTTCTCTTTATAAAGGAAAAAAGACTATACTAAAGAAAAAATGTTGGGCGCTAAGAAAAGTAATAAATGAAAATTCAACAAGCCTACAAAGGACTTTCGAAAAGACAGTGAAAGTCGAAAGCGTTTACCTCAATGAAGTTTAAGCAACCGTCGTTTGGTACGAATGCTGTGATCTTCTTTCCATTCTTAATTAGCTGCACACGAACACATTTGCGAATAGCTGAGTTCGGCTGTTTTGCCTCAACACCCCTAAAACGGAACAGCAATTAAGATACACCCTTAATATAAATTAGTGAAAACTTTTAAGGACAATAAGCAATGAACTGCATGCGACTGGTCATTATCAAAGCAACTGAAATGAGATAATAATATACAGAGAAACAAAGTATTTTTATATCAGAATTTGAGATGGCAAATCAGAATTCATGCCACATAATTACATCAACTAACAAAGTAAACAAACCTCTCAGGATGCTAACTCTTCAATAAGAAAATTACTTACACTTTTTCCAGTACAATCCCTTTAGCGTGCGATGCTGCTCCAAATGGATTTGCTTTCCATCGTGTTCCCAAATGTGCTTTCTTGTAGCCTTTATCATTCCAACGCTGAGCCTGTCTGTGCGTTTTCAATTTGCGCGCTGTACGTATACCCTTCGGTTTTCCCATGATTTATGCCGTTAACTAAAAAATGAACTCAAAATAAGGTATGCATGGAACGTGAGAAGCGATAACGAAAATTTAGCGAGCGAGATAAAAACAATGAGAAGCTTAAAATAAACATAAACACGCTCAAAAAAAAAGCATATATATATATTGAAGTTGAGTGAACGAATGGAACTGAATGTACGCAGCGGGTTATTCATTCTCATAATGATTAACTTGCGTACCTAATTACTACTGACGACTTCAACTATTTCATCAATGTGCATAGTTCTAAAATGATAATAAATAACAAAGTCTGATCAATACCTAAGTTTATTCATTTAATACAATACCCAAATTTATTCATTTAATATTTCAATTCATCTTGCACTGTCTTCCGTCAACAATAGCGGGTAAAGTAACGGCATGAACATGCAGAATTTAAGGTAAGTTAAGTAAACAAACCGCTTATTTGATCCACTTCAGATTCATCTAAATTTGATACAATTCTGAACTAAAATTTCCTTGAGCTACAAATACATATGGAAAACACGTTTGCCCACTCCACATTCACAATACACCACATACCCAGAATAAGATTCAAACAGCTTAAGAGACCAGTAATGCAAATACACCAGCAGATACCTACACAATAGAGAAACCAATAACGGCCATCTGCGAAATAACGACAAGTCCATCTTAATCCATTGCAAGCGAGCGGTCAACTTGAAATATGTCCTCAGTTAGGGAGAATGATCCGATTCTAATCAGGAAGGAAAGTAAACGTGCAAAGTTACAAGCCACCAACGAAATTAAAATCCTCATATTAACTCTTGTCGTTATTATCTGTAAGGAAACACGGTTGCTGCAGTATAACTTTTGCAGAACCAAAACTGTCTCAAACTGATGTCTTAATATGAAAACGTAATATCTCGCGCCGATTTTCTATTGTTTATTCTTACGAATAATGTTGTAATGGAAACAAGAACCGGATGTGCGTTTTACGAAAAAAAAGATGACGAAACAGTTGAGATAATATTTCTGAAATTACTTTCAGTTTCAATTTTCCAGAAAAATGGTAGTCGCGTAACATATTAATAGCAGCTTTGAACAGAACACATTTCTTGTCTACTAATAGAAAGTCAATCAAACTGTTATAGCATTCTTATTTTTTGTCAAAAACTTCCTATGAAACTTTTCGTTTTTATATTGTCTAGAAATTTCTAGAAATTTGACGGCCAACCATTGAAACATTGCAATTATTCATTTATTTTACAAACGTGGAAAGAATTATTCTCTTCCTTATGAAATTTGGATTTGAAAACTTGAATTCTGTATTTCATGTTTCATGAGGTAAATCTTTTAGCTTTTTTTTTGTTTTACTGGGAGAGCTTATTTAAGCAAAGAAAGATGGCAGACGATTTGAGAAGAGCACTTGAAGGGCATCAGCGCAAATCTCAATGTCTATGTTGCTCGTTTGTATGATATCAAATCTGAAGGATTGCAATATCTCGCAGTGATATTGTTGTCAGCAAAAAGATCTCCGTTCTAAAGCTTCTGAAGCTGAAATCAATCTCAGAAGGGGTTGTGCACTTTGATTGAAATCAAATCATCCACGACTTCATTTCAAATCTCAAAGCTTCACCTATGATGTTGTATTTAGTTGGGTCCTCTTTCTTCCCGCTTTATCTTAATCAGGCCGCGATTTGCTATTTCAGTAATTCGATTTTTTTTTTCAATCTTAATTTCAACCCAGTTTCGACTATCCGATTATCACTTATTCGATTAATTTCAATAATATGTATTCAAGAAAAACAATGCTAACATTATTTGTCCGACATAAAACTAAGAATTTCCAATGACTTGAAATGATATTGAGTGTCTCTTATCAGTTAGAGTTTTTTCTAACAATAGCCCTCTATTCACTATAAAACTATGCTTTATATTCATTATAAAACTACTCTGATTACAAATGCGAAATGAATTTTCAAAACTGCAAAATGTTTTGCTTAAAGAAATTTCTTGCTAAATCAGAGTTAGAAAATCTGCGCCAGTAAATCTATAACTAAAAATCTAATGAAAGTTGAATTTCGATAAAAGAAAAATAAGAAGTTGCTAGTCAGGTTGTTTTGATGTCAACTTGCCAATATGCACATTGGCTATTGCAGAATAATACTAACTTCTCGTGGTCAGGTTAACATTTCTTCAATTGCAGAAGCTCAAACTGAATATTATTCAATAATTTGAAGCTGTCTGAATAAGGTGACAAAAGTAGCGTGCGAATTATAACTTCCTTTTTAATGCATTGTGCTAAATACGACCTAATATAGCTTTAAAATTTCATTACATTTTTTTTTAATGAAATTTTAATTATATATCCTGGCTTAGTGGATTTATGGATTTAATAATGACAAAATCGAGCAATGTTTTGGGGGTGATTGATTTTGGAAGTGAAAGGGGATTCTGAAGTGGAAAAGGAAGGGAGTAATCGCATGTCGGTTGGGGTAATTTAAAATAAATTGTTTGAACGATTATGGTTGAAAGCTTGAAGTAAGCATTTACGCAATTTTAATAGATCCTAACATCAGCACTTAACATTTGGCATCCTAGCGGCTCCAATTGTCAGAAAATAGGGCGCATAGTGCTTTTATTTCTAAATAAGCTAATGAACAATAGAATCCGGAACTGGACGATTGCGATGGGTTTAACCTATCAGAGGTAGAACTAATGAAGAATGTATGGTATACATTCTTCAGTATGACTGAATTCTCCTGAATCTACTAGAAGGTAATTTTTTTCTTGCCAAACTGAACTAATTTCATTTTCAAAGCATTCAACCTTTTATGTTCAAAAAAAAAAACAACTGATTGCGCGATCAATTGCTAATTAAAAATGGATTTATACAAAAATTTCAATTCAAAGAAGGCTAGTAGTAGTAGTAGTAGTAGTAGTAGTAGTAGTAGTAGTAGTAGTAGTAGTAGTAGTAGTAGTAGTAGTAGTAGTAGTAGTAGTAGTAG